TTATTATTTTCGGGCGCCCCACGCCCGCGCCTCACCTCTCTCTTGTGGCTACTTCACCTACTTCTCTTAGCATTAGGACCCCCCCCGAACTTTTTACTGATGGGTAGATCCCTTCTTTTTTCCTTTGGTGTTTTTTTCTCTGCACCACCCTACTGTTTTCTCTTTTTTATTTGGATGGTTTAGCTTCGCTCAGCCACGTCCCGGTTGTAGTTGTAGTCACCAGCTGAAGATGAAGAATGAAGAAATATGAGGTTGGCGAACACGAATCTGATGATGTGGTATGCGCGACAGCCGGCGGAGGAGACGGAGGAGGAGGAGGAGGAGGAGGAGGAGAAGAAGAAGAAGAAGAAGAAGAAGAAGAAGAAGAAGAAGAAGAAGAAGAAGAAGAAGAAGAAGAAGAAGAAGAAGAAGAAGAAGAAGAAGAAGAAGAAGAAGAAGATAATAGTGATGATAATAATACACATGTTATAACATAATGTGGTAATGGGGTTATCTCAAAATTTTGCAAAGCTAAAGGCTCGGAAACCGAATGCCATTAAAAATGAAAAATGTCGATAAAACTAAAAAGCAGACACGAGCAAGATGCTCTCGTTCTGCCTCATGTCATTATGTACATATGCTCTGCAAAAGCCTCTTCCATTACCTTCGAGGCTCACCGTATTCGAGTTAAATAATTGAAGAGGTAAGAAGATTGAAATGTCTAAGTCATCTTGGCGTTGTTTCGAGAGAAAAAAATAGAAATGTAAAAACAGCTAGAAGTAATGAGGATAGACTACCGATTTGCGATTTAAATTAATTGTAAAGGCGATAACTCTGATTTAAACCCACCCAGTTATTTCATTCAAATACTATGGTGTGTAGTCTCCTTTGACGTGTGTCGTGATACCCAAGACCGACAACTTCTTCAGTCTTGGGTGCTACAAAGAACTCTATTTTTAGCTAAATGGAACTTCAACCTTTGTTTTTCTGACCCCTTTAATTATAGGTGTTTTACGCCCCCACTGGTACTATTAACACTACCTAGGAGAAAGGTATAGGAGTCAGACTCAGGAGTGTCGTGATCAAAAACTGTTACTTGGCAACAGACAGGGAATGTAATTAGAATGAGGAGGATGAGGAGGCGGAGGTGGAGGAGGGGGAAGAAGAAGAAGAAGAAGAAGAAGAAGAAGAAGAAGAAGAAGAAGAAGAAGACGCCTACTGATGATGGTGTTAAAAATAAGACTCTTGCACTCTATGCTTCCCAAGAAGTCAAGATTGTTTCAGAGTGCTATCAGGTCAGCGGGCGTAATTTTATACATCGCATTTTAGATCTAAAGCGCACAGAGCTTGCTGTTGATCGGGAATTAGTTTTATACAAATGCTATATACTTTTTTCTATTTATCACCAAGGGTTAATAACATGACATGACAAACTGAAACAGTAGCACGTCTTTGATGGTTACTGCGGTGTGGTGTCCTTTTCTGGGCTTAGACACACCCCCACTGGCCACCCAAAATAACGCGGAGTCAACGACACTGATTGATTGTATAATTTGTAAGCATGATTCACGAACTGCGGGGACGTTACTGGCAACACTGTGCCATAAAGATATTATAGTGTACCTTTATATAAGATCTTAGCTTTGAAAACTAATGCAGGTAGAGTTATTTCATATTCTGGGAAAGGGGTGAGGGGTGGAGAAACGGGTGGGGGGGGGGGGCTCTTCTTCTAGGCCTGTCCTGGATCGATTTATTACCGGTAAGTGGAAAGTAAGTGATAGACAATGACACTTCAAGGGTTGTGTCAATGTTGTGCCAGCGATCTCCTGTAGTTACGTCTTCAAATATTTGCGCTAATCAAGAGGAGTCAAGAGAAGGCGGGGGGTGAAGGAGGAGAGAGAGTGAGAGTGAGAGAGAGAGAGAGAGAGAGAGAGAGAGAGAGAGAGAGAGAGAGAGCGCGAGAGAGAAAGGAACACACACACACACACGCACGCACACACGCACACACACGCACACACACACACACACACAAACAAACACACACACTCACACACAGAGACAGACAGACAGAAAGACAGACAGACAGACAGTGGGGGAAAGAGAGAGGGAGGGTAGAGAGACAGAGAAGAAGAGAGTAAGATAAAGTTGAGTGGTATAGGTTGGTGATGGAAAGTGTAAAGGGAAAAGAGGGCGGGGATCGGGATAGAGTTAACATAAGTTAACCGGATCCTTGAGGCACTAGGTTTGATCCAATCAACACAGGTTCGGAAAGTTATGTTGTTGTTCGGGAGAGGGGAAGGGGGGGGCTGGTAAAGGTAGAGAAATA